TTTTTTTTTTTTTTTGTATTGAATACAATATTTGTTATGTTAAATATAATAATACAAGGTATACCTCTTTAAAGGTGAGAAAATAGTAAAAGAAACGAATATTATTGTTAAGCCCTGTATGTGTGTATGTACCTAGATTCCAATATTATATACCTCGATAATAATCTCTTCATTTTCATATGTATTAAAGTGCACTCAAATCTCTTGCTGACTCTTTTTAAATATAATAAGAAATTCATGGCATGCTTTTAGGTATTTCTGCTATAAATAAGTGTTCCGCACAAACTATTTTATTTTTGTTTAGTTAGGCATTGTGCCATACACTACCCATGCAGACCTATGTGAAGCCTTAACGCTGATGACGATAAATGTGACACTTGGCTAACACATATGCCGCACACAAAGTAACCCCCTGCCACCGCTCTTTGGTTTTTGCAGTGTTCGCTCTTGGCGCGTAGCCTTGGATATGAAAAACTTTGCTTATGCATAAATTTATGTGGGCTACGTTGCTTGTAAATTGAAATGTTTAAAAGCGCATGAAAATGTTGTTAAAACTTTCAAGTTTTCCCGTTTTATGTGCACCAACAACTTTTAATATGTGTAAAGTAAAACACAGGCAGAAAGAGAAAAAGAGAGAGAGAGGGGGCGAATTATGAGAGTGAAAAATATAGTCACTTGTACTTGTGATGTGCATTGGTATTACAAATATCGTGGCTATGCTCTGGCCTGCTTAAATAAGCTAATTCATTCAATTCATTCCATTCAGGAGAATCCAAAGCCCAGCAGGAAGCCGCCCAATATGGCGATTGAGAGCCGTGCACTCGACAGGATAATCTGCTTGGCCTTGTCCACATCAATGGCATAGTCCATGGGCGTGAAGGGCGAGACGGCCATTTGCCGCACAATCGGTGGCTCATGCTGTTGATCCGTCACCTTGGTCCAGTCGATTTTGATCAGACCCGTCTCGACGGCCACCTCGACGGTCAGAATTGCACTGCCAATGCATATGGCCAGCACCTTGCTGACCTTGAAGAAAACATAGCCAACGATAAAGCCAGTGCCACCGCCGACTGCAATTTGTACGTAGGCCGAATGACTGTCCAATTTGTTAAGAGCTGTGGCCGGTATTGTCACAATTGGCATTTTTTTGTATTTATTTATTTTCTTTAAATATATTATCGAATTATAATACTATGTTTTTCCTGGTACGTACTTGATTTAACCGATTTCACTGTATTCACTGATAGCCGGCTCATTTTTATTACCCCGCAACAGTTTTCGATTTTGTGAGCTCAGAATTCATTTAAGACTTTTGTGTTTCATATTTTTTATTTATTTTAATTTTTTTGTACTTTCATTGAGTGTTAACTCAGAGCCAGAGTCTCGACTGCTCGGCCAGGTGCTACAGGTGCGCCAGACCGTGAACTCGCTTCAAAGTCTGCGCCCCGCACATCAAACGTTTCTGGTTTTTTTTTGCACACATTTTATACAAAGCGCATAAATATTTGATTAGCTACTAATTAAATTTAATGCGATTTCGCTATGTCAAAATATTTATATTTGCCCAAAATTTGGGCATTAATTTCAACGAATTTTCAAACGTTTTATTTGGCACAATAAAACTGACCAACAAATCAAATTCGTTTTAATTAATGCACCACATTTCTGTATCGCTATAATTATAATATTTATTGGCTTCTGTTGACTGCTGTTGAGAGCTATAATGGAATTTAGATCAAATACTATGTTGGTCATAATGGATTTAGTTTAATTAAACTATGTTGACTGCCGCTACTAAAGCGTTGCAGCTTTGATAGTTTTGCAATTATTATTTGGCTAAAATAATAATAAGTAATATTTACTCGTTTTCGAAAGCCGAATTATCAAGCGTATTCCTATAAGTCTATACAATTATTTTTCTTTTATTTTATTTTTTTTTTTTT